AAAGTTAAATACTTCTAACCAATACATTTTACGGTACTTTGACGGTTTTTGTCATCGTAGTCTGGTGAGTAAAGCTCGTGGTTGCAAAACCGAAAGCCCTGTGTTCGAAACCACGGGCATATGAGGTTCTAATTATGGGTTAGCAAACTAATTCAAAATCAATCAACTGGCCAGTAAAGGTCACCGGCCATGGAGCTAAAGTTCCTAAATGAATTTCAACGGTCACGTGTTCGTGACCAAGGGAAGCCTCGTAGATGGAGGCATCCGGCTGTGGTCAGGCATGGAGAGGGGTGGGCACCACGTAGATGGAGGCATCTGTCTGTGGTAAGGCATGGAGAGGGGTGGGCACCACGTAGATGGAGGCATCCGGCTGTGGTCAGGCATGGAGAGGAGAGGGCACCACGTAGATGGAGGCATCCGGCTGTGGTCAGGCATGGAGAGGGGTGGGCACCACCAAGAATGAGGCATCCGGCTGTGGTCAGGCATGGAGAGGGGTGGGCACCACAAAGAATGAGGCATCCGGCTGTGGTCAGGCAGGGAGAGACTTAGACATACCACCTTTTGTTTCCCCAAATTAGCCCAATAATGGTTAAGATAATATTTACTGGCTTTTAACCTTTTTGAAATTTCCGAACCCCAACAGTTTCATATACGCATTTATCGACCCCTCCTAAAAGGACTGACAAAACACTATCGTGAATTATATGAGTCGGGTATGTGTCTTGACATCTGCCGACCCCCCCCCCTAAAACTGAATCACCGCAACCCCTGGATTTCGATAGAACCCAGGTTTAGATGCACGTACCTATTTAGTTGGTTGAGAAGCCAAACATATATTTTGGGTTTACACATGTTAGTTTTTTTTTGCCACCACAGGTGCTTGCATGTGGACTGGCTCAGTCGATGTAGAAGGAAGATGCTATAAATTACTCGACACAGATGCTACATGGTTTCAGGGACAGGTAACTTAATTTACCCGTTATTTCTACATTAAGTTACCCGTTATTTCTACAACAGTGTATCTTTTCAGAGCCCACATTGCAACTGTCTAACTTATTATGCTAAACGATATTCCTTTCATTACAGGCATCGTGTGTGTCTCTAGGTGGATCTTTGCCCACGATTACAACACGAACACAGCTCGACGCCCTAGCCTCAACCTTCGATAAAGATAGTACGTTGTGTTTTTTTAACGCTACATCTTTTCATCACAGTATCTGTTGACATAAAGCGTGTAATTAATATACACCATTGGATTACGACGCTATAGTTATCTTATACAGATATATTTCGATGACAACGCAGAAGTATATAGTACCTAGTTCATAATTTATTTCAACATATTGTTTAAGTTGGCTAACTTTAAAAAAAATTCATAAAAAACGTTTTAATAACATGTTTTTATGTAATGATGCACTAAAAAGTAGAAAATAAATTATAGACTACTATTTAAATAACTATAAAGAAAAGCGTGGGTGTCTTCCTTAACATTAGTAAAGGTATCCAATAGATACTAAAGTGACCCACGCTTTTCTTTATAGTTATTTAAATAGTAGTCTATAATTTATTTTCTACTTTTTAGTGCATCATTACATAAAAGCTTGTTATTAAAACGTTTTTTATGAATTTTTTTTTCAGTACTTTACATGTTTTATTTACAATAGAGCTACATGACTAAAAACCATTGCGCGCCTACTGAACATCACGTTCAGTAGGCGCGCAATGGTTTTTGAACGCAGCCATTACGTGATGGCGCAGCTATTGAAGGTGATGACGCGTGTGGTGTGGTTGGCTAGACATGCCTACTAATTCGGTCCAAATTTTTATTAATTCATAAAAAATTAATTAGGCATCCAATTAAGTCAAATTTAGTTTCAGATTGCATTGTCTTCATGTCTTGACCCACGTGCCAACTGTGAATCGTATCGGTCAAGTAGAACTGTCCGAATTTTCACTTCTGCGTTTCCGTCTAGACAGACTGACGACAGATGAAGTGAGTTAAATAAAAGCTTGTAAAAAGTGATTAACCATAAAATTGTTACCCGCTGATTTTCACAAAGTGCTTTTAAACAAATTCTTGAAACAAGATCGACAGCAGTTGCTTATTTAGACCTATTTCAAAAAATAAAAAATAAAATAAATGAAAATATTTCATCAACTACAGTCGAGGTAATAAGTAATAAAAACCATTGTGTAGGTAGTAGACAAAATTTACAGGGTGCCATATGAATTTGTTCGTGTCTATTTATATTTCTTGATTTCTTAAGAAAACCCGTATTCAACACAAACAGAATAAAGAATAACAATGCCAAATATAACAGTAGTCTTTGTCGGATTTAAAAACACAATTACTAGGACTTTATCGTATATATATATATATATATATATATATATATATATATATATATATATATATATATATATATGCATGTTACAAATGTATGTCCAGTCTGGACCGGCGCCAACGACATTGATATCGATGGGACCTTTGTGTGGGCTGAAGACAACAGTATCGCCACCCAGATCGCAGCCAACAACTTGTGGCGAAGTGACAGCCCCTCTTCCTATTCCCCTAATGATTTCGATTGTGTGTGTGCTTTCAACAACATGCTCGTAGACAACTCTTGCAATATTAAACTATATATCGTGTGTATGGAACCCTGTAAGTATATATACTGTGTCTGTCACAACCTGAACTCAGCCGTATTTAAAAGTTTAGCTCGTCGAGTTGAGCTTATCAATAGACAGGTTCAAATTTAAAAAGTCATTAATAACACGACCAGGCAATAACATAACAAAACATGAAAATTAATTTCACAATTAAATTTTAAATAAATGTTGAACTAAAAACGTAAAAACTAAAAGCCATATTTTGACAGCCACATTAGACAGCATATACATGGGAGCACATATAATACTACACCACTTTAAAACACGACAATAAACATGTATTAAAATAATTTTGCGACAGAAATGAAGTTTTTATTTGAAACAGTTTTTTCCGGCAGTGGGTGTAGGCATGAAGGGGTGGCATTTTAAAAAGATTGACTTGCCAAGCTAGTTTAGTTTTCATATCTCCTCTGTTATGTTTTATATAATTTTCCTAAATTGAAAAAAAAGCGCATATATATGTTAGTTACATATATGTAACTATCACGGTATTCAAGTTGATAATCACTTCATCAATCTTATACTGGATTGACAAATTGTAATCTATTCGTGCTTTCTTAAGACTCTTAAAACTTGTTGAATGTAAAATTATTCACGTAACATGGTGAATGATGTTCAGAAGATAGTAAAGAGTAAGTATGTCAGGTATTGATATTTTTTATTTGTAAATTTATTCAGCGGGGATCTACAAGGAAATTCATGATCATCTATGTTGTAAAAGTTGTCAATGCTTTGTTTATATTACACATACATGTGGTTATAATTATATTATTCTCACCTTAGTGCAAACAACCACAGTGGGTATAACCACAGAACCTACAAGCACAACGACTACAACAACTGATGCCGCAACCACGTCAGTCACATCAACACCAGCCACAATGACACCAGCTGAAACCACAGCAACCTCAGCTATCGTGACCACCCCACAACACATGCAATCTTTCCCTACAACGACACAAGGCTCAGCTCTGATCATGCCGTCCATTGTTTTATTTCTCCCTCTCCTTATCGTATCTCTACTGGCAAACATCTGCTAAATTTAAATTATAATTGTCAAAAATTGTATATAATAATATCTTTTTAAATATTAAGTGGATGTATTTTAATCTCTTTTAAATATACATAATTATCTTCGAATATACCCACTGATTTATGATTATGTAAATTTTATTGTTTTGAAAATTTTTAGTTCTTTCTTTTTAGTTTCTGTATACAGTTTCTTGCCTCGGTTTAGGAAATCTACATTACCTTTCTAACTAACCCTAATCACAACCAACCAAAACCAAAACACACAAAAAAAACGCACATATAACGCAAAAAATAACTCAAACACAAACCGAAACGCAAACACAAACACAAACACCTCAAACACAAACACAAACAAAAAAGCAAACACAAACTCAAACACAAACGAAAACTAAAAAAATACAAACGCAAACACAAACGCAAAGGCAAACACAAACACAAACACAAATAGAAACAGAAACGTTACATACTAAAATGCAAACTTAATCGTATAGTGCTCACATTCTACTCTAGGGCGCCACATCCCTCCTTTCCGGGGCGCCGCCTTAAACGCTTGATTCAACTTAGTAAACGACTATAATACCACAACTTATCCAGTCTTTTGTGCACTCACTTAAACGAAGGTAGGCGCCACAGCGTGTGCGTGCGTACGTGCGGCAAAAAGCAACCGTATGAAATTCTAGTATATTTTTTTTCTGGTCACCTATTTAAAAAAAAACAACCTTTCAATCTTGGGCACTTTTAAAGTGCAACGAGTTTTTTAAAGTCTAAAAACTTGTTTTATTTCACAATACTTTGTAGGACTTACATTTTTTGCTAGATATGCAACATGTGACACTACCAAAACAAAACTATACTCTGAAACTTATAAAATGAGCCTTTACTTTGTTCATTAAAAAAATGAAAATGAAAAAAATAAAAAAATGTAATACATGAACGTTTTGTAGTGCTTCTTTAAAGAGTGAAAATAATTGTCTTGTACTATCTTCTTCCATATATATAATTCTCTACGTCGTGTGGGTATCTTTGAAGTGGGTGTCTATTTGGCGTCAACACTGTGGGTATCTTTGAAGTGGGTGTCTATTTGGCGTCAACACTGTGGGTATCTTTGAAGTGGGTGTCTATTTGATTGGCGTCAATACTGTGGGTATCTTTGAAGTGGGTGTCTATTTGGCGTCAACACTGTGGGTATCTTTGAAGTGGGTGTCTATTTGATTGGCGTCAACACTATGGGTATCTTTGAAGTGGGTGTCTATTTAATTGGCGTCAACACTGTGGGTATCTTTGAAGTGGGTGTCTATTTAATAGGCGTCAACACTGAGGGTATCTTTGAAGTGGGTGTCTATTTGATTGGCGTCAACACTGAGGGTATCTTTGAAGTGGGTGTCTGTTTGATTGGCGTCAACACTGTGGGTATCTTTGACGTGGGTGTCTGTTTGATTGGCGTCAACACTGTGGGTATCTTTGAAGTGGGTGTCTGTTTGATTGGCGTCAACACTGTGGGTATCTTTGAAGTTGGTGTCTGTTTGATTGGCGTCAACAATGTGGGTATCTTTGAAGTGGGTGTCTATTTGATTGGCGTCAACACTGTGGGTATCTTTGAAGTGGGTGTCTGTTTGATTGGCGTCAACAATGTGGGTATCTTTGAAGTGGGTGTCTATTTGGTTGACGTCAACACTGCGGGTATCTTTGACGTGGGTAAAGCGCTCACTGAAATGGCTGCCGTCTAAGATAAGCAATGTTATATATTGGCGATTCTGCAATCTATAAGTAGTCAGGACTCAACACCCACATTAAAATAAAAAATAGAAAAATCAAATGTTGTACTATTCACCCTCTCCCTGGAGAAAGAAGACGTGGAGAGTGACTCACACTATATTACAATTATAAATGAGGCCAACTATAACATTAACTTTCTTTGAGATAAATAAATGCCCTAGCATCAGGATAATTATAATTTTATATTAGAAAGTGCCGTAGTATAAAAAAATACGTGCACCCCAGATTTCGGGAGCAAGTGACTAAACTGTGGCGCGCCTACCCTACAGGTCACATGACTCAGGCGACCCCTACTTACCCGCGCTGATCCCATCAATATGTGACACGACCCCAACTTACCAGCGCCTGATCCATCAATATGTGAGACGACCCCAACTTACCAGCGCCTGATCCCATCAATATGTGACACGACCCCAACTTACCAACGCCTGATCCCATCAATATGTGACACGACCCCAACTTACCAAAGCCTGATCCCATCAATATGTGAGACGACCCCAACTTACCAGCGCTGATCCCATCAATATGTGACACGACCCCAACTTACCAACGCCTGATCCCATCAATATGTGACACGACCCCAACTTACCAGCGCTGATCCCATCAATATGTGAGACGACCCCAACTTACCAACGCCTGATCCCATTCCTTCGCATCATCAACATACAGAAAACACCTTCCATCTACTACACGTGAGCCAATCCATTCTATGGGAGTCAATACATTAAGTCAATATCTAATTTAACAATACGTTTAAACTAACATCACACCTAAGTATAAACATAATCTTAAACATATATCTACATCTAATCCTAATCCCAAACCTTTCACTTTTCGTTAGGAGTAATTTTTTTAAGTACCATTATACTTTTTAAAATACCGCAAAAATATCATATATATATATATATATATATATATATATATATATATATATATATATATATATATATATATATATAAATACACACACATATATATATATATATATAAATATATATATATATATATATATATATATATATATATATATATATATATATAAACATAAGTAATATGCAAAAATATGTCTATGAATTTGATTATACTAACCTTGTGTACTACCCATATTTACGAGCATCAGAGCTGCTATAAATAGCCGAATATTTGACATCGCCATTTATAACGGATGTAGAGTGTATTTTCTTCCAAAAAATAAATGAAAATAATATTTTATCATTACAACAACAACAAAAATGACGTTCAGTCAGGTCCCATCCATCACCCCCTCCAACCTCCCACCTTATTTCTACCCGCTCACCTCCCCTGCCATGTTTCCTCCCCCTCTCACCTCCCATCTCCATTTCTACATCTTCTTCTTCTTTATTCTTAATTTTTAGCGCAATTTCCATTCTGGAGAATTGCGTTTATTAACCCGTCATTTCTGGATGTATGAATGAATGAATGAATGGATGGATGGATGGAAGGATGTGTGTCCGCAGCTTTAAGGCGTATCTCCTCCTCAACGAAGCAATATCGAGGACTAGTTCCAAAGCAATTATGTTAAGCAAGTTACGAGGATGAACATAGGCCAAAAAAATTCCGGGTTTCTTTCATGGATTTCCCGGAAAAGCCAAAAAACCTCGAAAAAATGCAGTTTTTGGCCCATATCTCGGCAACCAGACCACTTAGCGACTTGAACGATTTACCAATCGATTTCTGCCATAAATTAGAACAATATTGCCGAAGAAAGTTTTCAAAAATAACCTTTCGTTCGGTCACAAAGTTTTTTTTTAATTAATTAAAATTTGGACCGAATTAGTAGGCATATTTATCCAACCACACCACACGCGTCATCACGTTCAATAGCTGCGCCATCACGTTCAATGGCTGCGTCATCACGTTCAGTAGCTAGGCGCGCAATGGTTTTAAGTCATGCAACTCTATTGTAAATAAAACATGTAAAATACTGAATTTTTTTTTAATAAAAAACGTTTTAATAACTAACCAATGGTTTTACTAACCCTGCTCTTGATTTACGCTACAACAGAGCTATTTTTAGATAACATAAGGAAATTGCACTAAAATTGTCACTAGACTTTTTAATTACTTGTTTAGTGTTGGAAGGGATCGAACTCGAGACCCCTTTCCAACACAATTAAGATTTACGTGTCAACTGGTTATGTTGACTCCGATTTCAGCCTGCTTTTCTTTTTGGATTTGCTTCCATAGCCTTTCTCCAACCAAGAACAGCTACAAGGCAGCAGTTTGTTTTATTTTTGGAGTTGTCTGTCCCCAGCTAACGAGCCTCATCTGCCCGAGGGTTCGAACTCGAGACTTTTCGGTTTAGCAACCATGAGCTTTATCGACTCGACCACGCCGATCTAAGATCTCTCCTTTTGTTACCTCCCCACTCCCATAGTCATCTTAAAAAATCCCCACCTCTTCTAACACCCCCCCCCCCCCACCTCTTCGAACACCCACTCACCTCTTCTAACACCCCCCCCCCCCACCTCTTCGAACACCCACCCACCTCTTCTAACACCCCCTCACCTCTGCTGCTACCTCATCTATTTATTTTAAGTGACACAAACTTTCAAGCAAGGAACATAATCAATACATTAAAGCATTGACCTTGCACACATAATCAAGTATGGTCAACATAAATAACATATCGAACTAAACAAAAACTCACCTGAATTTTAATTAAAATGCTGATTTTAAACAGCCGACTAAACCAAAGTGTCGAGTACACTGAAGTCTGTACGTTGCTTATAAACCAATCTAGCAAATGCAAACACGTGATGGATATAAAAAAACTACCTGTTATAAATCTTCAAAGGTGTCAACGAAACATCATACAATCAACATGATCTCAATCACAAGAAGATACCACATTGTTATCACGGCAGAAAATATATCTCGTGACGTAAAAAATTCGGTTTATTACATTTTGAAAATCGGTCAGACGGGTTTGTGACACGATGTGTAATTTACATAGAAGTTAGCACTGATATGTGTGTAGCAGGGGGGTGGGGTCAAGAGAGACGTGGAGGCGCACGACAGAGGCAGGACTGTCATGGGGGACTGCCAGGAATATTGCTGGAGACCAGGGGCGTAGCGACCCTTCCCGGCGCCCGGGGACAAACTTTCAATTTGCCCCCCCCCCCCATATATTTTTTATATTTATGATTCCAAACCACAGCTCAAATGAGCTTCTAATTTATTTTCCAACCCATTTTGGCGCCCATAGGTTTGGCGCCCATAGGTTTGGCGCCCGGGGACATATGTACCCGCTCCCCCCCCCCCCCTTCGCTACGCCTCTGCTGGAGACCGACAAAGTGGAGGGAGCTTTCTGTGGCGGCCCCATTTTGTCTTGGACATAAAACGGAAGCGATGATGAGATGATATGTAGCAGTTGAAATTTCACGTTATGGTCATTTATAGGTGTATATTTTAAATCAAAAACTTGAAGTTCAGGTCCTTATAAATTACTTTATGTCGTCCGCCCCCCTCCCTTCCTCTCCCACAACTAACATGAATGTTCTCATACTGCTATTCAAACACAAATCCTCTTTTGCATTTGCCAGATGAAGTAGAGTTCCTATGTTTCTTAACCTCAGCATATGAAGGGAAGGTGTAGTCAGCACTTAGACCAGCCGACTTTACTTGACTTTCCCTAACATGAGTTAGGTACCCATCAGAGCTGCGTAGACTCGGTGACGTTCTACTAACCTTGAAACCGGATTCAACCAAGCGAGAAATAATTAGCTGACATGCATGTGTTACGGCACTGATCTTAGACGTGTTCCTTACATGTCTGCGTGCAATGTTGCATGACCGGTTGCATTAACACCTGCATATCTGATGTCATCAAACTAACGTCACGGTGTTATCTATACAGTCCCATCTATGTTCAGCATTTAACGTAAGGTAAGCAAACAAATCAATAAAGGAGGTGGCACCATGACGGTAGCAGTTTTTAGGGGGGGGGGGGGCATGTTGTTCCAACATTCCTAAGCTTCAAAGACCATATGAAATGACACGCTTACGGTAAAAAAAAGGCTTTAGATCTACTTCACTGTCCTCTCGGAATAGATCATACGAAATAAAATATTCACGAGAACAGAAATATGTTTAGATTTAATAGTATCCGGATGTTAACCCGTGTTTATAAAACCATTGCTAACTACTGGTATACGAATGTAGACCCGTGTTTATAAAACCATTGCTAACTTTATGCACACCGGATCGCTGTACAAACCACAGATCTAAGAAAAGAACATTTGATTTGCTTATTCATTGTTACAAAAAAATTATTTTTTTTGTTACTTCCCATATTATAATACATAAATTCAAAGGTAAATAGCTAATAAGGTTTAATTTAAAACTTAGAAAGAACAAAGAAAAAAGTATTTAAAATTAAAACTGTTTTTTTTTTATTTTGTTAATAAATGCATTAAGTACTTTATAAAAAAAGGTATACTTTATTAATTAATAATCTTAAAAAACTTTTATTTTGTACCCGAATTAAAAAGAATAAGCACTAGTTATATTAAATAATAAATAGATTTTAGGATGAAGTTTTCACCTAAACTCCAATGCACGTGATAGAAACCTAGTACGTGTCAAGTATATTATTTTCTAACTATAAGAAAGAAGTATTACTAGTGTAGGCCCGGGGTCGGCAATCTACGAGATAGCAAGATGCGGCTCTTCAGCTCCATGCACAAAAAATAATAGCGAGTCGACCCGCTACGTAGTATACGCCGCCATCAAGATGTTTTATTTTCCGCTTATCAGCAATTCATAATTTGTGAATTCAACACTACCCCCTCCCGCCCTCCCTTCCCCCTCCCGCCCAATGAAAGTAGCCGTATACAGACAAAGAAAAGATCAATCATAAATTGTTACCTCCCCTTCGTTTCAAACAGTTTAGTACTAAATTATCTGCCCCTAATAGCCGTCACTAACCCGGCTCTACGATTGTAAACATTCAGTGTGAACTAAAGCTCACCTGACAGGTGGGGATGAGGGTGGTGGCTAAGCTGCGTGGTGTTTTCTATAGTCTCCATGAAGATAATTATATATACGAGCCGACCCGCGGCGTATCATACTCAGTTGTTTTATTCTCTACTTTTCAGTAATTCATAATTTGTGAATTCGACTGTACTTATCCTGCCACTGAAAATATTTGCTTTTAAATACTATCAGTAGATCGTTAAGGACGATAACCCCAACCCTCCTTTCCCCAACCCTACACCCCCCCCCCCCGTGAAAGGAGCCTCCTCTTAGTTACCTCCCCTAAGTTTAAAAACGTTTCAAATTAAATTAGCTGCCCCTAATAGAGGTCACTAAACCCGGCTCTACGATTGTAAACATTTAGCGTGAACCAAAGCTCAGCAGACCATGTGAAGATGGGGGTGGTAGCGATATGCCTAGAGAGGAAGAGAGGGGGCTGCTAGGCGCTTAAAGATTGTTTTTTTCTATGGTCTCCAAGACGAGAATTATATATATAGATATAGATTATTTTATTTTATATCTCGAAATGTATAACATTTTATTGTTTTCAAAACGATATAATAATAAATATAAGCAATAAACCGAAGAGATGCCTCGAAGAAACTATGATCCCGAACTGAAACTTTCAAGTTCATGGTGGATATCACAAAGAAAATAACAAGCTATAAATGTAATACTGCAAAGAAAGGAAAACCCTGCCTATGCCGTGCTTGAAGAAGTGGATTGTTTCGAAAAAAAATACATTTGTTTGTTGAAGACACGGAGAGCGGTAAATTACTTAATTTCGTAAAACTGAAAAAAATATCGTGATGAAACCAATCAACTATTAACATGAACTACTTCAACATAACAATAAACAAAATGAAGGATGGATTCACTGAGAGATTTGAGCAATTCAAAACAAATGCAAGTTCTCTGACGTTCATAGTAGATTCTCTCAACACAAAAACAAATGAGATTAATTTAATTTTGCGCTTTTTAATGGCTCGATTCAAATGCAATTGTTGGATTTAAAACGACACAAATATGGAGCGGTAAATTCATACAACCCAAAGACCAAGTAAAAATAGTTGAAGGTCCAGTAAAACATACACGTTTTTCTGCACAACTGCACAGCTCTAAAAGAAAGCCTCGAGTTGAGGCACTCACATATGACGCATGGAATAGTTTTCCAGAATGCTACAGTGAGGTGAAGAAGTTGGATTTTGGAGTGCTGAAGATCTTTAGGTCAACATAGTCATGCGAGTTCTTGTATATGAATATAATAAAAAGTTTGAGTAAGACGTAAGTTAACAAATACAAATCCAGAGGCGTGTTTGAAACTGAAAACTACAAGTTATGAGCCATTCAAATAAGAAACTGCAGTTATACGGTACATTTAAATTATTTGCTTCAATTATGTTGTTTTAGTATGACTTGATGGTAAATTTTGAGCAGTAGCTGTTACAATTGATCAAAATTTCTTATCGATTGAAGTTGTAATCTAATTTATGCACAGGAAGGTCATTAGATTGAGGAAAATTTAGAACTAAGGAGGGTAATTGGTTGCCTTAGGTTGGTCTATGCAAGTATATGATGTACCAGTGTGATTGTAATAATCGTCTTATTCTCGTCTGGTATGTTTGAAATATTGTAATGCGCTGCGAAAAAAAATCATCTATATTTTATAGAATACGGATTGTATTTGTTAATTCCCACGTTGTAATAAATGAGATCCAGGGTAAATAGTTAATATTATTTAATTCAAAATTAAGAAACAGTTAGAAATAAAGAATTAAAATTTAAAAAGAATTTGTATTTTTTTAAATAAATATACGCATAAAACGTTTATATAAAATATGTATAAACTTAATTAATTATAATGAAACATTTATTTTGGACTCCAATTTAAAAGTAAAAGTACTGGTTATATTAAATACAAAATTGATTTATTTTAAAATGGAGCATACTCTTTAAACTCAATGTTTGTAATGAAACCCGAATGCATGCCGAATACAATATTTTCTTCCACTGTTCACGAAATACATACACATAAATTGGAACAATACAGAGAAGATTAGCATGGCCCTCGCGGGTGACGACTCGAAGAGTCGTGAAGTTTTTCAAAATTTAAAGAATAGAAAATTCTTCACATTCTGCGCACATACTGTAACACACCCATCTTCCCCCAAAAGCAACAAAACTCTATAAAACAAATCAGCGGAACAATCTTCTCCCCTGCGCCGCGATCTAGCATTCCCCTTTCACACTGTAGAGTCAAACACTCTACAAATATAAACACTGTCAACACTTTGATACAAATATTCTCGCTTAAAAGTCATGCACCGTACAAACATAAACATTGTCTCTACTGGTAGTACTAGAATACAAATCACTGCCCCACATCAACCATCCCCCACCCCCCCCCCATTCGATGTATTTTACCGCTCTGCGAGAGTGCCCTCCCCCTGAAAGTGGTGTGCTGGAGAGGGCAGGTGTGTGAACAAGGAGGAATGTTGTGTGGTGAAAACAGTGTCATTTCTTGCCATTTCTTGTCAGTTCTTGTCAGTTCTTGTCATTTCTTGTCATTTCTTGCCATTTCTTGTCATTTCTTGTCATTTCTTGTCATTTTTGTCATTTCTTGCCATTTCTTGTCAGTTCTTGTCATTTCTTGTCAGTTCTTGTCATTTCTTGTCATTTTTTGTCATTTCTTGTCATTTCTTGTCAGTTCTTGTCATTTCTTGTCATTTCTTGTCATTTCTTGTCATTTCTTGTCATTTCTTGTCATTTCTTGTCATGAAAATTTGTCTTCAAACATACACAATAATTAAATGACTCTAATTGGATACACATCACTATCTCCCTCGTACTCTCCCTCATCCCATTGTATCTTTAATTAATGGCTAAGCCCCACTCCCCCCTCTACGACCCCAACCCTAAATTTATATAAACAAACTATCTCCTACCTATTTACAACTCAGAGAAAAATATATTGCATAAGACGAAAGGGAAATAACTGCCTAAATATTCCACCTTGATCTATAATAATAATTTCGCTGTCATTGTATGTATCTTTCTGTTGGGAACGCTTTTACTATAGAGAAAACACAAGCAAAGTTAAAACAAGCACAGTCATACGCAAATCAAAACGTGACGTCACAAGGAACATATAGTAGCAAATAGTCTAAAGCCGGAAAAAAGTGCACTCATTAATATGACGTCATTTATTCTCGAGTAAGAAATGAATTAAAAAGCTAATGCCGAAATTAATGACGTCACTGATACTCTTATAACAAAAAAACTGGCATTACCGACTAATGCATTTGGCTATTCTTAAAAGTGTTTTGCGTGCAGAGTTTCTTTCATGCCCCGGATAATTGTATTCGCCCCTGAAATAAACACTGTCTGCGAGAGTGAGGTTTATCGGCAAAAAGTTGGAAACGGGTCCATACTATAGAAGTAGGCTCTAACTTAAGTTTGTATGATCTACAAATGCGACCAGTGTTACTTTCAGACCTTATCCTTCCCGGAAGAGGGGGGAGGGGGGGGTTCTTAAAATTGTCGGGGGTGGTGGTGGATTAAATTTTCTGGAGAGAGGGGGGACACTGGTAAAAATTTATAATTCTAATTCGTTAAATGGGACTGTAGACGTGTTTTGGGGTGTGTGTGGGTGTTTTTCGGGTCGCCTAAAAGAAAATCTAAATGCGAAGTTTGTAATGATTGCGATTAATTGCAAGAATGGGGGGGGGGGTGTTTACAACTATATTTAGTTTCAATGTGCCAATGTGCAGTAACTGCGTGAAGATCAAGCTTAAATCCGATTAAAATACTGATTTTTTTCGTTTCCGGTTCAATTTGAAGTTGAAGTGGTGTCTTTAGTTTTGGTTTTGGTTTAGAGAAAAGAGACAACACATTCAAACCTAGCGCCCGTTGTATCCTTCCTCAACGGGCCATTTATTTCGTATTATAAGAAAATTGATTATAAAACCTAAAAAAACGACAATCTAAAATATCAACAGAAAGGGGCATAACTGGGAAGGGGAGGGGGATTCAACTTTGGACCGACATATTTATATTTTACTTTAGATAGATTTCTGGGTTTAAGTGTTATAAACATTGCGTAAATGCTAATAACAAAATGTTTATTATTAGAGAGAGAAATGTAAACACACTAACAGTAACCAGTTCCATCGTCATTTACCTTTATAATTATGTTTTTACTTTCCTGTTTGATGCTTTTTTTTTCATCGATGTTTGTCATTTTAACTTTCTCGTAGGCTTGTACAGAAAATAATTTTATAACATATTGTTTGCCGTTCATATAGTGCGCAATTCAATTTCTACGAGATTCTATTCTCTTTTACAAAGTTTAAGTAATTAAAAATGAATTAAAAATCATGTCTATATTCCGAGTTCCCATCCCCTTTAGTTTTATATAAGAATATTCGAGAAAGTTTAGGGGATATTACTCCCGGTTTATTTTTTAAATCAGTGTTTCTTCCAGACTTTTTTCTCCGGGGGTGCACGGTGCACTTGATATTTCCGGGGGGGGGGGGGGGAGCGGACACTAGTAAAAGTATATGTTTACTATATAAATTAACTCTCGTTCGGGGGAAGGGGGGCGGAGATGCCTGAAAGAAACTCTGAGAAGAACGGTAGGAGAAGAGGTAAAAGGCCGCTGGGCCCACGTGGGCGCAGATAAGGGGAGCAGCCCAAAACCGAGTGTGATTGCAGCCCTTGGCTACCCAGGGGCCACAAAGGATCAAATCAAGTATGTCAAGTACTATCCACGTAAAGGGACAAGACCGCGAAAAAATGTTGCCTCATCGCCAAACTAGATTTCTGGTATTATGGTTACTAACATTGTATTCACTCACAATTTATCTCATGTCTTGATTATTATGTTTACTCCTCTTTAATTATTTATACATCACTTCTTGTCCATCACATTTGCTATGATAAGCCATAATTAAACTTGTTTTTTTCCTGTTTGTAAATATTAAAAGCATGTTGATTTAATTATTTTAAAATGGAATATAAAAGTATTTTTTAAAAATAAAATGAAAGAACTTTTTTTTTGTATAATTAATATTTCTGGCAATACTATTTGAGTGTGTGTGTTTTTGTGTGTTTGTGTTTGTGTTTGTGTTTGTGTGTATGTTAGTGTTTGTGTGTTTGTGTGTGTATGTATATGTGTGTGTGTGCGTGGGTGTGAAATTGTGATCGTTGGTCGTTAAGGACGTTGAGCGACAACGAACAATACTTATGTTGATTTGGTAAGAGACAATTTTAGATTTTATTATTGTGGAATATTTAAGCAGTAATTTCCCTTGTGTCTTCTTACACTGTTTTTATTTTCCAGAATTGTTAATTTTTTTTTTTTTTTTTTTTTTTTTTTTTTATTAACTCAATTGTTTTAAACATTTAAATCAGTAATAATAATATATTTGATAGATTTTACACAGCATCAAAGACATGAACAATGAACATCAATTGAAAATCTAATAATCAAAAGGAGAAAATAAAATGGCAGAATTGTTAATGAAATAAAATATTTTCCACGTTTTTGGTCTCATTCCTGAACATAATGACAGATAGCGAATGTTTAAATTCAAAAGCAATTACATATTTTACATAGCCAGTGTTTTTATTTTTAAGTTGCTGTAAAAAAATATATTTTTATTCTATGATTGACAAGACTTATATAAATTTATATAAAACTTTTATGCGTATATGTATGCATATTATCTATAAAACAAAAAATACGCTAAAATTTTATCAAAATCTTTATTTCTAACTTTTTTAGCTTTTAAAATGAATTGTTATTAGCTATTTCCCCTCAATGTAAAGTATTTAAGTATGGGAAGTAACTGCGACAATCGATAATTTATGTAACAAAAATATTTTTTTTCCGTAACACAAAGTGTGAAAAATTATTAAAAGTGATGATTATTATAATTATACTAGTGTGCCCGTTTCCGCGCATAGCCGCGGGGTTAGAAGAAAATTTGAGGACAATCTGAGGGTGGGTTTACGAAGAAACACCAGTTGTGAGGGTGGTGATTGTAGGAAACCATAACTCTTCAAAATGTAGTGCAGGTTGTGTAAAGTTTGTATTCTATAAATTATATATATACTCTCTACTGGGATCGCCTTTCTTACGTTCGCCTGGTACAGCTTAGTGAAATCAATACAAGGCCAATTCAAGATATTCTATAATGTTTCTTTATTCAACACAAATCAATCTCCTCCACTTACCCTAACTACGTCTTAAGATCTAATTGTTTATTACACTATCTAACTTCAACTACACTTCCAAACTCTAACACTACATTTATTTTCAACTTCTACGTCTTTCCCCTAGCGCTACCTCTGTCTAAATCTCTACGTCTTTCCCCTAGCGCTACCTCTGTCTAAATCTCTACGTCTTTCCCCTATCGCTACCTCTGTCTAACTCTCTACGTCTTTCCCCTAGCGCTACCTCTGTCTAACTCTCTACGTCTTTCCCCTAGCGCTACCTCTGTCTAACTCTCTACGTCTTTCCCCTAGCGCTACCTCTGTCTAACTCTCTACGTCTTTCCCCTAGCGCTACCTCTGTCTAACTCTCTACGTCTTTCCCCTAGCGCTACCTCTGTCTAACTCTCTACGTCTTTCCCCTAGCGCTACCTCTGTCTAACTCTCTACGTCTTTCCCCTAGCGCTACCTCTGTCTAACTCTCTACGTCTTTCCCCTAGCGCTACCTCTGTCTAACTCTCTACGTCTTTCCCCTAGCGCTACCTCTGTCTAAATCTCTACGTCTTTCCCCTAGCGCTACCTCTGTCTAACTCTCTACGTCTTTCCCCTAGCGCTACCTCTGTCTAACTCTCTACGTCTTTCCCCTAGCGCTACCTCTGTCTAACTCTCTACGTCTTTCCCCTAGCGCTACCTCTGTCTAACTCTCTACGTCTTTCCCCTAGCGCTACCTCTGTCTAACTCTCTACGTCTTTCCCCTAGCGCTACCTCTGTCTAACTCTCTACGTCTTTCCCCTAGCGCTACCTCTGTCTAACTCTCTACGTCTTTCCCCTAGCGCTACCTCTGTCTAACTCTCTACGTCTTTCCCCTAGCGCTACCTCTGTCTAACTCTCTACGTCTT